CCCCTAAAGCTCCTGTTAAGGAGAGTATTCAGAGGTGAAAAGAGTAAATTATGAGAGCCGTAACCTAATAAGTTCATCCTAGTTTGAATGGGCTCACTCGGTGGTATCTGTAAGCAGGTGGGACATGGCTGGAGGAGCTGGGTCACTAGGGGAGTGCCCTGAGAGTGTTACTCATCCTGCAGCCCCCTCCTCTATCTCAGTTTCTTGACCACACCATGGGATGGATGAGCAGTTTTCCTCCTCTGGGACCTTCCCCATGATGTGCTGCCTCATCTTGGGCCCAGAACAAGGGAGTTGTTGTGTATGTTGTCTATGGACTGAGACCTCTGAAAACCTGAGCCCAAATTAAACTTTCCCTCCTTTAAGTTGTTCTCATTGGATATTTTGGTCACAGCAACACAAAAACTTATGACAACAAGAGGAGGGGTCCTTTGATTTTTATATCCCCTTTTCCTCCTAATACATTTCTGGTTATTATATGGTTCCTCTGTTGCCACGGTAGCCAACTGTCTCAGAACATAGATTTCTCAAAGTTGCGCTGCTTCTTAGTCACTTGAACCAAGGACCTGAACGAGTTCAGACCTCCTTTGTTCGTGCCTCTGGAGTTTTCAGCATCTGTTTCGTGTGAAAACCCTCAGAGCTGGGTGTGACAGACTGTAATGTATATGTGTGTGAGTGAGAGAGAGAGAAAGAAGAGAGAAATTGAGAGGAGAGACAAATTGAGAGGAGAGAGAAATTGAGAGAGGATGAGAGAGAAAGGGGGAGAGAGAACGGTTGTATACGTGAGCTTTTCCCCACTTACTTGCCAGGGGATCATGGAAAATGCTAATCTAAAGCAGCCATCAGATGATGGGAGGACAGGCATTTAAATAGCTGTAATCTTTCTAGAAAGATACTTAGAATCAACTATTATAAGACTTTAATGTAGCTGTGATCTTTGGTCCAATAATCCAACCTACAAGACTACAAAAAGAGAGATAGAGATTTGGGGATAAGGGGGTTTACTGTCATTAATACAACCATTGTTAATGGTTTTAATACTCTAAGGGTCATTGACAGCTAAATAATGGTCATTAATGGTGGTCACCTAAGAGTAATTAATGAGAAAGTAGTTAAGAATTACAGAATAGCCATGTGTGCTTCTTTTAGGCTGTGCCATGACCTAAATTTCTGTATATGTATGCATATATAGAGAAAAA